ATTCACTCATTCATCTGGTCACGTTCACTAACATTCATTCAGGATCATTAAACTTGCCATACAGCAGCTAGTGCTAGAAAAAAAAGGACATGTCTCTCCACCTCCAATTCTACAGCACTGCAGTTGAGTTTTCTGAGGGATGTTGCACTTTGACTTCCAGGTAAAGCCAGGCTTGCCGATGCACAAAAATTGGGACCAGCATTGTGATTATCAAAAAATTGAGCAGTTTCTCCAATAAATCTTGGAAGATTCGGGCTAGTATGATTTTGCTAGCATGAGTATACTTAATGCATCATTCATGTCCGCCTTTTTTTCCATTACAAAAGCAGAACCTATGTACTTGATGTGAGATGTTTGTAGTTTGTAGTTAACTGATTTTTAAAAAAAAAAAAAAAAAAAAAAAAAAAATTCTTACTGAAATTGAATTTTGAGATTTATTGTCGTGAGTGTTCGTGGTCATACAGGATGGGAACAGACCCTTCAGTCCAACTCATCCACACCAACCAGACATCCAATCTGATCTAGTCCCGTTTGCCAGCCTTTGGCCCATTTCCCTCTTAAACCCTTCCCATTCATATACCCATCCAAAGGCTTTTTAAATGTTGTAATTGTACCTGCCTCCACCACTTCCACTGGCAGCTTGTTCCATACACGCACCATTCTTCGTGTGAAAATATTATCCCTCAAGTCCTTTTTTAAACCTTTTCATCTCTCACCTTTAAACATTTGCCATCTAGTTTTGGACTCCTCCTCCCCCACCCTAGGATATAGACCTTGGCTATTTACCCTATCCATGCCCCTCATGGATGTTGTAGGGAATAACCATCTGTTATATTGATACATATTGACATTAACTGCACAGGCATATTGATTCCACTTTAGTTTGTGGCTTGTGCATATTATTATATATACACACCATGGTAGATTTTTATCCCTATTGTACACTGTGCCACTGAAGCGCACTACTGTTGTCCAGCCTTGCACCTTGTTGTCACTGTTGTCCAGTGACAGGTTACCAAAATGCTTGCCTCAAGACATCTGCATGTCCCTAAGGCTTCTCGTGTAGATGTACCTAATGGCATGACCCATTATTAGCTGTGGTGAGAATAGGCAAAATATTTGTTTTGATATTGTGATTAGCTTGCCATAAAACTGCCCCTTTGTTTGAGCTGTGTGGTGAGATTGTCACCAGGAAGCAATGAGTTCCCAGTTAACACTATTTATCACTTGTTAAATGGCTTGTTGACAGCCTGACCTGCCATAGGTTGCTATCTTATCAAACATACCATACAAACTACATGTTGTGAAAACTTGCCGTGGAAACCAGAGCAGGTTCTTTGATTCAACTTGCTGTTACTCCAGAAGATCCATGCTGGCCATCGACAAACTGGACAGTAGGGTATAATCCACCAGTACCAATTGCACATGCCTTTCCAACAGAGACATTGGCACTCCACTTTTTCAGGGAGGCATTGCCAACATCTGGCATTGTGCCCTGCAAAGACACTGTCCCCTAGGAGGGCACTCTGGCGACCATCAGTGTATGAATTGTGTTGTGTACAGGTACTGCACAAGGAAGAGCATCCGTTATGTGGTGTGTACCAGGTTCTCTGGGGCTGCATGAAGATGGGGACCTGTTAGGCAGTTGCAGTCAGATGTGCTCTGCTTGGGTGATGACCTCGGGAATTATGAAGCTTGTGGAGTTAACAGACTGGGACATTAGAAAGGAGAGCCTGACATCAGGGCCCTTAGTGACACATTAATGCACAGACAGAGTTGCTCACAGAAAACCACTCACTGTACCAATCGTAAAGTGTGTGGATTGCATGGAATGTTGCGAAGAGTGGCTGTGAAATGTCATAATATTTGAGGCAATGGGTCTAGTGCTGGAAGGTGGGACTAGAATAGATTTAGTGTAGCTTTGGTGGTGCAGACGTGACGGGCCAAAAGGCCGCCTCTGTAGTGTATCAATCTATATGATTCTTTGAACAGCATGCGATATGTTAGTCACAGAAGCATTCAGGGTGTCTACTTCCTGATTAATCTGCTGAATTGACCAGCTCGCTTGCACCTCCCTATCATCATCACTATTGGGGCACTCCATGATGTATACGTTCCAGTGCATGAAGATAGCTGAAAGGTAGGTAATGATTGGGTGAGGGTGTGCTGCTATCCCTGCTGCCACATCATGTATTTGGTGATCATCACAGAACCTCAAACGACGCCTTGTTAATGGCTAAAGAGTAATAGCGCATGATATTACAAAGCATTTACAGCTACATCAGAGACCAAGACAACTATATGAATGGTGAAACACAAGGATTTATGAAATCCTACAGCTAACTGCATGCTATTGTCTGTGAAAGAAATCTTTAAACATGAAAGTGTTACCTGAATAAAGTGAGGATATTGCAGAGTGTATGGTAAACAGGCTATAAACACTAGATATACTGATCACCAAACGATGTACAAAGTTTACAGCTATCATCTAAATTTTGCATTCATACATTTTTCTCTTCCTATCCTGCCTGCTGTGCCTCTTTAAGCTTCCTTGCTCCACGCATGGGTGGAGGAAGTCTGCTCTGTGGTGGAGTTAGTGGCCCTAGAGATTTAGATGGGTGACCCCAGGACCACTTGGGTCTGGCCTGGCAAGGGTGGCCTTGTCAAAGGCAAATTGATCCTCCTTGGCTGGAACTTCCAAGGGTTGAATGGGAGCAGGCAGAATGGAAGTGAGGGCCTGGCTACCTATATATCTCCCCAGTGTAAACTGTGGAGGCCCTGTGTATGGCTCCTTCTATGGTTGGTTGCCTCCTGTCACCAATCTCCCCCTTATGAAGGGCAAGCACGTGGACTACTGTCAAGGCTTCCTGTCTCCCCCTGCCTTCAGTTCTGAGGACCAATGCATAGGCCAATGGAGTGCAGGTGCTGATGTCTTTCAAGCAACTACTGAGTGTGCTGAACCAACCTCTGCATGGGAGCTGCAAACTTGTCCATGGAGGCAGACGAATGATTGCACGAATGACTTCACTGCTGCAGCATCTTGAGTGACAACAGGTCGTGTGTTGATGGGCTACTTGTACTGCTGCAATGTTTGAGCAATGATAGGTAGCGAATCAATGAAGTTGCCACATGATTCCAACTTCTTAACAATGAGGCAGCGTGACCTAAATGCCTGTCTGCCACTGCTTCACCTCATTGTGTATCTGTATGAAGTCCATCATGGCTGAGACTCCTATCAAGGGCTGAGACTCCTATCAAGGGCTCAGCAGGTTCCTGTTTTCTAGCAGTCCTCTGACTGCTTGGCCTGGGCTGTTTCTCCCACATCATGTGTGGAGATGCAGGTCTGTAATTCACTGGACTGTTTGTCAACATGCCTTTGACAAGACTACCCTCAGAAGCTTCATAGAGCCTCATAATATGTCATCGTCTGTGCTGCTGGGCTCTCCAGGAGGCTATAACAGTGATGCTCCCTCCAATGATTAACCATGACATTCTGGGGAAGCTGAGGAACTTTCTTTTGTGGGGATGGGCTGTTCCTTGGTGGTTTGGTTCTGCCCTTGAGGCAGAAGACTTTGCAGTCACTGGCCCAGAGGTAGGACACTGCCACTGTACCGCAAGACGGTATCCCTATGGTACATGAGTTTTTTTTTTTTCCTTCAGCAAGGAGACCAGATTTATACTTAATACTGTGTAGGTGCAGTCTCACCAGTTTTCTGTACATTTGAAGCAAGCATTCTTTTTTCCACTCAAGTTCTCTTGTGATAAGGCTAACGTACCATTTGCCTTCTAGGTTACTTGGAAGGTTTAAGGATCTTTTTCTGAAGAGTGATTTTGTTTGAAATACTAATCTGTGTAACAATGTAATATTAATGCAACTGTAATAAGTATTCTTAAAATCTACTGGACTGATTTACATTGAAACAATTTAGGAAATATTTTATTTTTAACTAAAAATACTCAAGGGTTGAGAGCAATTTACAAATTATTGCATCAATGCCAATCAAAATAAAATACTTAATCTTTTGTGTTTCTAAAACCCTTGTTACCAACAACAAATTATATTTATACAGTATCTTTATGTAGAAAAATGTTGTAGTTGGTTCACAAGTGTTTTCAAAGTTTACCAAATGAGTCTTTTATTTTCTTCCCTAATGAGAACTTTCATTATCAAATATAGACTCTCCTGTAGCTGTAGACTTCCATGGATAATGTCAATGTGCAAAGACAACTCGTATGATTCAAGGGTAGCAGAGTAAAATAGTGACAATTTTTACTTATTGTGTAATATGACACAAGGTAATATGTAAAAATTTATTGGAGAAAAGCAAGTTTCATTTTATTTGTTCATGGGAATGACTCTGCTCGCAATGCCAACATTATTATCAATTCAGAACTGATTTGAGAAGATGTTTTCTTGAGTGATCACTTCTAGAAAATGACAGTTGTTTGTCACTTCATTGGTGTAAAATCAACTGTAAAGCTCTGAGTCATATGTATGTAGACCAGATAAGGGTGTTGGGCTCACCAAAGGATTTCAGTGCATCCATTACATTCCATCAAAACTATAGCAAATGCCACTGGTGAGTTTTCTTGCCTTAAGAGGGCAAGGAACTCTGGAGCTTTGTCTCACTTTCAAAAAGGAAGTTAAGAAGTAATCAGTTGAGGTTTTGCCTGAAAATGATACTGTTTGAAAAGGGAAATATAAAATGAGTTGCAATAGGTAGTGATTTTTAACTGCCACATGGAACATTGATTCTGTCAGTATTATTATTTCAATGTGACCTTATTTCTTATAATTTTGCTTTGAATATGTAAGTTCGTACTGAATAAAGAGATAACAACAAGGTGTAGACCTGGATGAACACAGCAGGCCAAGCAGCATTAGAAGTGCAGGAAAGCTGATGTTTCGGGTCTGGACCCTTCTTCAGAAAATGTTCGTACTGAATAGAGTAATTTCCAAAGTTGTAAGTCACTGATAACATTTACTTATTCTCTTCCAGGTTCTTGGTTTGCATCTCGAGTATTGAAAGACTTTGCTAGTAAACATGTATTCTAAGATGCACAAGCGCAAAAATAAAAAATTTTTTCTGCCTTTTTATGGTAATAAAGTAGTTGATTACATCATAACCAGAACATTTAAGAAAATGTTATTTATATAAATGACTTTATTTTAAGTAGGATATTTTAAAAATCTTCATGACCTATCCATATGATATACCAGATGGAATCTAGATAAGAATTAACTGGGATAAACGCCACCTATTCTGTGCAATATCTCCCATTTTATTTTTATAATTAAGTTCTAGTGGAGCATCATTTAAAAATAGGCCAATGTGTGTGAAATTCTGTTACTAGTAATTTTTAGGAACTAAATTTTTTAAAAAAAAGTTAAACTGTGAATGTAAAATTTAAGTTGTTCCATGATTGTGATGAGTTTTAGGAAATTAGTATCATTGTTCTACAAGTTTTTAATAATATAATTTGTAAAGTGACAAATAGCAATTACTGCAAAAGTAAGCAGAAAATAGCAGAATGTTTTGAAATAAATTACTACAAAGACATGTAGCAATTTGTCTAAGAAGAAAAATAAGAGCTGATTGTGTAACCTGAAGTTGTATTGGTCCCAGAAATTAATCAGCCATTGACCCATACTTTGTGGATGCTATGAAGATCAATTGATGTTCGTATTTAAACTATAAAAAGTAGTATTTTAACTGCCACTCTTTTCAAAGAAAAGAACTGAACTATGACCTGACCGATTTTTGAGATGAAAACTACGCGTACATATCATTGGTTGTGTTGACATGGAGGTAAAGAGTTGTAACCGTAAAGTGCTGAAGGTTCACATCAATACTGTTTATTGATTCAAGTCCTAACACCCATCAATATGGATTTTTTGGTGACACTTTAAAGAGGATGATAAAAGCTGTTCTCACATGGGACTCATTTCTAAAGAAAATGGTTATCATGATACATTGAGTAAAGTAGTTTTACAAATATGTTTCTTGTTGAATCAATGATCGATTGATGCTCTGAAATACTAACAAAATTTTTACATTTTTAAACAAAGCAATTTTGATGGGCCATTCTTTCAAAGGATGGATTTTTAGTTAAAGGAACTACAATATTTGTTGCAAGGGCTCATTTAACACTTGGATTTTTGAGATGGCAACAGTCACAGGAATGGAAAGAAGACCCGAGAAGATTGCTTTCCAGATCTCATTCTTATCTAGAGGCCTTGCTGTGGAATGTGAGGGATAACAGTGAGGTGAACTCTCCTAAGGGTAGGAGCCAAAGGATAAATTATCTAACCATACAGGAATAGATGGAAACCTGATTCCTTCAATCTCGGAACATTCCCCATGAGAATCCAGGTCTTCAGGAGGGTTTGTCAGGTGAGTGGCATAACATTTCATGTGTCATGCCTCACACAGTTAATTTTATAGATATTTTCTAATCAACCTGTTCAGAGAAGTTATGACACACCTGAAGCAGCAGGACCTTAACCTGGGTCCCCTGGTTCAGAAATGGGGACACTACCACTGCACAACAAAAACCCACTAACTTGTATATTGATTGTTTAATTATATGCAGGTGCTGAGCACTGTAAATTCACTTGTTCCCCTACAAATTGATGTAGATTGAAGTTGTGGTTGCTGTGTTGGAAGGTGTAAACTTCTAATGTACCACGCTGTAAATAAAAAATCTTTCCAGAAGAAAGAACTATACTTCCAGAAGCCATTGAGTAAATCGTACAAAACAAATTTTATTTTGGAGTATGGTTACCTTACAATGTTTGCAGAGTTGAAACCATGTGACCAGTGGAAGAATGAATTGGATATATGGACATAATAAGATCAGAAGACAGACATCAGAAGACATTTGATCCATCATGTTTGCTCTGCCATTCAATGAGAACATGGCTGAATTGATACACTTCAATTCCTCCTTCCTGCCTTTTCACTATAACACTTTAGTCCCTGACAGTTTTTAATAAATATTCAGATGTGGATGTTGCTGGCTGGCCAGCATTTATTACCCATTCATAGTTGCCCTTTTAAAAGGTGGTGGTGAACTGCTGCACTCCATACACTGTAGGTAGCTCCACAATGCTGCGAGGGAGGAAAATCCTAGGATTTTTGACCCAGTGACTTGTGAAGGAATAACAATATATTTCCAAGTCAAGATTGTCAGTGGCTTGGAGGAAAACTTACCAGTGGTTGTGTTCCCATGTAGCTGCACTTGTCCTTCTAGATGGAAGTAGTTATGGGTTTAGACAGTGCTGTCTAAGAATCTTTGGCACATTTCTGCAGTGCTTCTTTTAGATCTTACACACTACCGCTATAGAGAAATGGCAGTGGAGGGAATGGATATTTGTGGATGTGATGTCAAGCCTATTGAGTGTTTTTGGAGTTGCATTCATCCAGGCAAGTAAGGAATATTCCATCACACCCCTCCAGAATGTGGACAGGTTATGGAAAGTCAGGAGGTGAGTGACTCACATCGGTATTCCTATCCTGTGACCTGCTCTTGTAGATACTATGTTTATATGGTGAGTCCAGTTTTTAGTTTCTGATCAATGGTCACTCCTAGCATGATGATAGTGTCGGGGGTGGGGTGTGGTTTAAGTGATGGTAATGCCATTGAATATCAAGCAGTGGTGGTTAGACTTTTCTTATTTGAGATGGTCATTGCCTGGCATTTGTGTGGAATGAATGTTATTTGCTACTTGTCAACCTATACCTGGGTATTATCCAGGTTTTGCTGTATTTGGACTTGGACCACTTCAATATCTGAGTCGTCACAAATGATGCTGAATATTGTGCAATCATTAGCAAACATCCTCACTTCTGACCTTTTATGGAAGGAAGCTTATTGCTGAAGATTGTTGGGCCTTGGAAACTACCCTAAAGAACTCCTGCAGAGATGCCTGGTGCTGAGATGACTGACCTCCAAATACCACAACCATCTTCCTATGTGCCAGATATCTGTCCAATGAGTGGAGATTTTCCTCCAATCCCCAGTGATTCCAGTTTTACCAGGGTTACTCAGTGGCACAATCCAGTCAAATGCAATCTTGATGTCAAGGGCTGTCACTTTCACCTCACCTCTGGAATCTCTGCCAGAGTTCCTTGGGGTAGTGTCCATTGGAATTTACAAAAGAGAGATGATCTCATTGAAACATATGATTCTTGAGGGGTTTGACAGGGATGTTTCCTCTTATGGGAGAGTCTAAGACCAGAAGGCGCAGTCTCGGAATAAAGGGCACCAATTAAAGACTGAGAAGGAGGAATTTCTTTTGGTTGAGAGTTTTTTTTTAAAGGTTGAGATAGATTCTTGATCAGTGACAGAATCAAGGGTTATGGGGAAAGGGTGGCAAAGTGGACATGAGGAATGTCAGATCAGCCATGAACCTATTGAAGGGCAGAGTAGACTCAAGAGGCTGAATGGCCTATTCCTTTTCCTATGCCTTATGAATCTCATAACCTTGGTTCAAATATGGAGAAACAAGCTGAATTCCAGAGTCCCAACCTATGTGACCTTTTGCTTAAGCCAATTACTCCATACTGGAGATCATCCTAGTGATCCTTCTCTGAACTGCATCCAGTGAAATGATATCTTTCCTTAAGTGGACCAAACTGCTTTCAGTACTCCAGATGTGGTATCACCAGCACTTTGTACAGTTGTAGAAAGACTTCCTTATTCTTCAAACCACTTGAGTGGTCCAGTATCCTTCCTGATTGCTTGCATTTCTGTGCACCAGATAATGTGTATTTTGTGTTCATTTCTCCAAGCCCCTTTTTGTGGTTGCAGTTTTCTGCAATTTTTCTCCATTTAAATAATATTCTGTCTGTCTACAAAATGAACAACTTTTACATTATTAGCCATTTGACAACTTTTACCCACTGACTTAATCTATTCATGCCTGTCTGTAAACTCTTTGTATCCCTCTCTCTGTCAACTTGACTTTCCACCTATTTTAGGGACGTTTGCAAATTTGCTACAGTACTTTCACTTTCTTCCTCCAAATTCAGGGGCTAAGTGGCACTGGTGGACCCCAAACTTGACATAAATTGGCAGGTTGTTCCTAAACTGGTGCTGTCTGATAATACATTTAATGACACCTTGCATCTCTTTACGACTGATTAAAGTAAACTGAGGTAGTGGTAATTGGCCTGACTTGGATCGTCCTGCTTTTTGTGTACAGGACAGAACTGGGCAAGCTTCCACATTGTCAAGTAGATGTCAGTGTTGTAGCTGTACTGGAGGAGTGCGGCAAGTTCTGGAGCATAAATTTCAGTACTATTGTCTGAACCTGTAGCTTTTGCAGTAGCTACTATCTTCAATCATTTTTTTGATATCATGTGCAGTAAATCAAATTACCTGAAAACTGGCCTCTGCTGGGTACTACTGGAGGAGGCCAAGGTGGATTATTCACTTGGCATTTCTGGTTGAAGATTATTGTGAGTGTGTCATACTTACCTTTTTTGCACTGATGTGCTGGGCTCTTCCACCTTTTGAGGCTGGGGTATTTGTGAAGCCACCCCTTCTGGTGAGTTGTTTGTCCATCATTCATCATTGGATGTGGCAAGACTGTAGAGTTTTTAGATCTGTTATGTTGGTAGTGGGATTGTTTAGTTCTGTCAATCACTTGCTGCTTATGCTGGTTTGCGTGCAAGTTTGGTGCCTTCACCAGGTTGACACTTCACTTTTAGGTATGCCTGGTGCTGCTCCTGGCATGCCCTCCCTGCACTCTTAATTAAACCAAGGTTGATCCCTTGGCTTGTTGGTAATGATTGAGTAGGGGATATGCTAGGCCATGAGGTTGTAGATTGTATTGGAGAACGAAGTTGCTAGATCTGTCTGGAATCTGTCCTGTTTAGCATAGTGATAGTGCTACGTAACATGATGGAAGGTATTCTCAATGTGGAGGCAGTATTGGGTCTCTGAGTATTCTGGTAGTCTCACTCCATGATGCTGCATGTGCCGCTGCCCATGACAGTATCAGGCAGATTGGTGAGGATGAGGTCAAGTATGTTTTTCGTCTGGTTTTCTTGCAACCTGCTGTAGATGGAGTCTAGCTGCTGTGTCCTTT